CCCCAGCCTCCTGAGTAGCTGGGATTACAGGCACGAGCCACCATGCCCAGCTAATTTTTTTTGTATTTTTAGTAGAGACGGGGTTTCACCATGTTGACCAGATGGTCTTGATCTCTTGACCTCATGATCCACCCGCCTTGGCCTCCCAAAGTGCTGGGATTATAGGTGTGAGCCACCGCGCCTGGCAGCAAATGGTGAACGCTGACCGCTCAGTGCTTCCTGCTCTTCCTGTCCTTGCGCCTCTCTCTCTGCATGCACCTTCATTCCCAGCCTCGCATTTCTAAGTGTGTGCCCCAGACGGCTCAGCTCAGCTCAGCTCAGCTCAGCACACAAAGGAATCCCACAATGCTGAACGCAAACGGATGTGTCCTGGCGTTTGGAACACACTGTATTTAGTGGGTTTCTGATTTGGAGGTAAAGAGCGAATGTCACATTTTCTTTTCATTTTAATGCTAGGATGACTGAGACAAAGGCCTAGTCTAGAAATTATAGCTCTTCTCTCATGAATAGTCCCTAGCTTCCCAAATTAATGCAAGCATAGAAGAGGCATTATCATGGGGAGCAGCCGATGGGTGCAGGCGCCCAGATAGAATGCCAGCACCAGCAGAAAAGAGCACAGGCTTGCAGGCAACCCCTCAGCTGCTTCTCACCGCGCTTCCTGGGGTGGGGCGATTTATTTCTGGTTCCTTCCTGTTAGACATGATTAGCTGGTTGAGGGGCTTATCAAGAAGAAGGGTCCTGGCATTGCTGTCCGCCCCTGTCTGGGGGAGGGTTTTTGGAAGACACTGGGAAGAGCTGAACACATCACCCTGAGTGAAGATGTTATGTACATTTCTAATATGGTGCTGACTGTACAGTGGCCAACTTGTCCTGGTTTGCCTGGGACAGTCCTGGTTTTAAAACAGAAAGTCTTGCATCCCTGAAACCCACTCAGCTGCAAACCAGGAGAGTTGGTCACCCTGTTTGGTTAGCACAACCCCGCTAGCCACTGAGAGCAAAACCACCCAGTTCCGCTCTGCTCCTGGCTTTTCCAGCAGTCTCTCTCTGATGCCAGCTTTCTTTCAATCTTTTCCTCCTAGGCCATTCAAGGGCTCCCCATTCTTGGAGTTCCCAGGACTCTGTCACTCCAGGAGCCTTAGAGCGTCCCCCACTCTATTTGGACTCCCTTTGTGGACTCCTCATTCTGACTTTTCCTCTCCATCTCCCTACCCTGCTGCTACACACACAAACACACACTCACATATACACATGCTTACACTCATGCACTCACACTCATACACAGGCACATGTGCACACATTCACACACGCATGCACACGTGCTTACACACATGTAGGATGCATGCACAGAGCTACGTCCCCACTCACTGCCTCTCCCCACAGACCTCTTCCCATGTCCCCTCTGCTGAAGGCCTCCCTGGGGCCTGAGCCTCCCTCCCGGCTTTGGGCTGGACACCCAGTCCTGGTCCGGTTCACTTCTGGTCAGTGCCCAGCAGCTGAGCTCTGGAAGCTCACTAAAGCTGAGCTCTGGAAGGGGAAGGAGCTGCCCTCCACCTCTGTGCCCCATACCCCAGAAGCCTAGCCGAGTTCCTGGCATGAATCCAGAGCTCAGTGCATGCCCATGGAACTGAATAAATTGGCCCTGAAATCATGGGCTTCTCCTACAGGCTGGCAGGGACGTTCCACTGTTGCCCGGGCCTCCTCTCACCTGGGCACACCCGTTCCTTCTCTGCCTGCATGGAGTGGATTCCCTCTACATCCACTGATCAGCGGGAGCCACCCCCTCCAGCACATGTTGCAGGAGAACCGCGTGCTTCCTGCCACCCTGGGAACTGGCTGCCCACCCGGCAGTGGGATCCCACTTAGAGGCGCTCCTCCCCCTGAACACACACACACAAGCCCTCCCTCTACCCTTGTTTCTCACCTTCGGCCAGATCTGGAGGGCTGGGGCGCTTCCCCGGATGTCACTAGGTGGCGCCATGTGGCAGTCCCTGGGCCCCACGGGGGCTGGATGGGGCCAGCAGCCCAACCCGGAGCTGCGGATGGGCAGGTGGGGATTCCTGGCCTGGAGGCCGAAGGATCTGTGGTAGGCCCGTCTTCATAGGTCTGGCCTCCGCTGTATGCCCTCGAAAAGATAACGTTGGGTATGAAGCAAAGGTGCTAAAAGCCACTGGCAGAGGAAAAAGAAGAAAATCATCACTGCAGCATTGTGCAATGAAGGCCGTGCAGGGCCGCGATCCAATCTGTTGCTTAAACCAGTTACCTGTGCACCTGACCCGCAAGGTGGTTATGATTCGTTCATCAGTGAGAACCAGTTTTTCTGGGGCAACTTATTATTTTAATAAAAACAAGTGGATTGCCCATGACTAGAAAGATCCTACATCGCCTTCAGGGCTGGGGTTTATTGTTGCTGTGTGTTTATTTGTGGAATCTAGGCTGCACGTTTCAAATCGGGCCGTCAGTCTTCATGTCTCTTGCTGCTGTTCTTTGTCGTGGGGCACAGAGACCATGAGGTTCGTATTTGGTGAGGTCGTTAATAGCGAAAGTGTTGCACTTCGTGCTTCTGAGCTCACCGCCTCGTAGGCTGTGAGAGGGAAAAGCAACACATTAAATTAGCCGACGAGGCTGAATGGGGATGTGTTGTGATCATCACCATGGACAGATAAGGAACAAAAAGAGAAAGTTAGAGATGCAGTCAGTGAGCAAAACCTTCTCGTGGAAAAACACAAGCCACAGCTGGAGAAGGAGTGACGAGGGATGTGGGAAAGTCAGGAAACAGAGAAACTTGGAAAGCTGCAGTGCGAGGGGGCGATTTATGGGGTGAGAGCAGATGGCTGTGCAATGTGATATGACAGCTAAGTAAGCGCAAGCAGGCTCAGCCCTCACGACCCACACTGCCTGGCCCCACCACCGGGGGCATCTGTGGACCAGACCGCTGCCACCTAATGAGCGTCTATTGCATGTCAAGGGACTTAGCGCACAGTCATGACATCCCCACAGACCCCGCAAGGAGGCCAGAGCCAGCAGGGAGGCCACAGCTCAGAGAAGTGAAGGAGCCAGGAACCCAGAGCTAGAAATTTAACGCAATTTAACTGCACCAACGCAATTCCAGAATCGTTAGTGCTCTGTCTCTGGCCACACTTTGTGAGGTTGTGATGCAGTGACCTTTAGCAGTGCAGAGTGGAAGTGGCCCAGGCGGCGGGAGACAGATGAGCTGGGTTCCAGTCCCAGCCCTGCCTTGCACTAGCTGTGTGACTCTGACTGTCACTAACCTCTCTGAGCCGTAGTCCCTTCAACTACAAAATGGTGGAAACGGTATCATCCCCACTGGGATGTTACATGGTTAAGTGGACATCGATGTTGGCTCTTGCTGAACTGCTTGGCTCACTAAACACGTGATACTGTTACTAGTCTTGGGAGCCAACCTGTAAATTGCTGGTAGCTTAGCAATCTTGAGTCGACAGATTCATCGTGACCAGCCTATTCTACCTTCTGCATTTGAAATATTAAATATTTCTGTAATATTGAAACCTGCTTAGCAGGAACGCACTGTGCATCCTTGGTGAGGTCATGGAAGGATGCGTGGCTTCTGCGGTGCATGGCTAGGCTTGTGCTCGCTGGCTGCAGCCTCCGTGGGATTTCCAAAGCTTTCTCTTAGCCCTCTATTTCATAGCAAGTGAGCATCTGTGGTCTTAAGAAAATTTGGTTCTGAAGAAAAGAGGGGTGATGGGAAGTGATGGTTCTGGAACCCATCCCAAAGGAAGGGTGGGTGAGGAAAATGAAGACCTGCAGAGCCTGGACCAGGGAGCAAAGGAGCCGCCTTCCAGTGTGCGTAGTAACGGAGGAGAGGAGGCTGGCTCGGAGCTGCTCCCAAGGGCAGCGCTAGGAGGAAGAACAGCAGGGTGGGCTGCATGGGAGAGGGTGTTGGGATGTGCTGAGGGGACCCCTCTGGGCTCCAGCTGCTTTGCTAGGAAAGGTAGTGATTAGACAAATGCTGTTTCTCAACGATTCTCCGTCGACTGGATAGCCCACCATTCAATTCAATGCTGACACCAGTACCTGGAGTGAGAGTGGGCCTCACAGGTCAAGGGGCTCCATCCCACAAGGCAGCCCCCACTCAGATGCCGGCCACCAGTCCCGGGTCTCCAGGCTACCGGCACCTGTGTTTGATTTGGCTACATTCGAGGGGTCACATGACCCTACTTCAGGTTTGATCATTCACTAGGACAAATCACAGAACTCAAGAAAGCACAGTGTGTTTAAGATGACTGTTTTATTGTAATGGATGCCCCCTGGGAATCACCATATAGAGAGGCACGTGGGAAAGAAAGCATGGGAGGCGAGGCATGCAGAGCTTCCGGGAGGGGGTCCCAGAACCTCACTCCCCGTGGGCTTCACATGGGGTTTCTTTGCGCGGATGTGAGAGGAAATCACGGGTCAGGTGATTGGACTCAGTCTCTAACCCCTCTCCCCTCCTGTGGTCTGATTCCTCTGGTGGCCAGCCCCCACCCTGAAGCTGTCTAGCCCCCAACCCCAGGACCCACCTCAGTAGTATTAACTCAGGTGTGAGAGAAAGCAGCTCCTTATAAATGAAAAGCAAGAGACGTTTCAATTGCTCGGGAAATTGTACTGGTTTTAGGAGCACTGGGTTACAAACCTGCGACAAAGACCAGATACATTTTTGATGACATGGCAGGTACGCTTTAACATCCCTGCTGCCACTAACTGACTATATTGAGTGGCTCTAAAACTGATTATGGGATACAATTCAGCCCCATGTAGGAAAACACCTTGCTAACCAGAGCGCTTAGTCATCGAATAGGCTGCTGCCCAGGGTCTGAGCTGCCTGGAACAGGAAGTGCCCCAGCGGAGGCTGGGTGGCTCAGTCAGAGTGCAGAGGAGGAAAGACCCCCGTGGAGTGGCAGCGTGGAGCAGATGCCCGCTCAGTGCCACGGTCAGGATGTCAGGATGCAGTGTCATGTGACTGCCTTGCTTGGTTTCAGAATCGAGAGATGCTTCCATTTTGGATGAATAGCACCGGCAAACGGGAAGGCTGGCAGCGTGGATGGCACGGCTATGACAACGAGCTCATGGACATGCGGGGCATCTTCCTGGCCTTCGGACCTGGTAGGCGAGGAATTGACCCAATGCTCTCAGGCCCCGTTCCCAAGGAAGTGTCTGTGGGGGGGGAGGGGGGGGCGCGGGTGTGAGGAGAGGCTGCAGGGATTTCCTTCCAGACCCTCTTTATGAGCCAAGCAGAGCAAACCCAGCCGGTCTCCATGAAACAGCTTTTGCTGGCTTCCTTTCAAATGCTTCTTGGGTTTGGCAAATGTGGCCAAATACTTTTCCTTGTAAATTTTAAATCCTGAGTGCAGTGAAGAAAATGTATTCCACATGTTTGTAATTCATTTTTTACCTAATTCATCAAAACGTTATTTCACAGCTATCTGGCGTCCAGGAAAGCTTATGGGACACCAGGTTGCTGACAGCTGTGAGTCTCACAGTTGATGCAATCGCTTCTTGGGGTCTGGCTCTTCCACAGGCCTTCCCGTCTAGAGCACCCACCTCAGGGAGGCTCAGTTAGTTTAGGGTCCGACCAGAAGCTGGGATGTGCTCAAGGGCAGGCGTGGAAGTGACCTTGGGCCTGACTTTAAGAATGAATGAGCCAGAATGACGAGGGATGCCTTGGATGAGAGCAAATTTGCTGTGTCTTCCTTGACCAGATTAATTCCTAGGGCTGGCAGAGAGGGGAGATGGGAGGGTGTATCTGTCATTTGATTTAACAGATGGATCCCTGTCAAGTCATACTTTGGAAAACTTTGCCAAACACTCTGAAGATCTTACTACTACCTGAACACCCTCTTCTCCCAAAAACAAAAATTAAAAAGGGAAGAAAAGCATTCAACAGCCCTCAACCCTCAGCTGACTGGTTCATGAGCTATCCTTCTCTGTTAACACGGTCCCTCCTCCTGTACTAAATAGAAGCAGCGTATACCCTGATACCTGTATTCTGAATGCCTTTTTCTAGATGTAGATAAAAATGTTTCAGCCCATAAAAGTCCATGTTTTCAGTCGAGCGTGGTGGCTCATGCCTGTAATCCCAGCACTTTGGGAGGCTGAGGCCGGCAGATCACGAGGTCAAGGATTCCAGACCAGCCTGACCAACATGGTGAAACCCCATCTCTACTTAAAAATACAAAAATTAGCCGGGCGTGGTGGTGCACATCTGTAATCCCAGCTACTTGGGAGGCTGAGGCAGGAGAATTGCTTGAACCCGGGAGACGGAGGTCGCAGTGAGCAGAGAGTATGCCACTGCACTCCAGCCTAGGCGACAGAGTGAGACTCCATTTCAAAAAAAAAAGTTCACGCTTTCCCTTCATGTTATAGGTTAGACATCACATCTCCAAGCTCTGCTCATCTCTTCAACGTAGTGAGATCAAGGACATATGTCGGCATCCCCCCTCCAGCCTCCCACGGTGACTCTACTTTTCACAAAATCCCTGTTAAGAACAATGAGGTGTCAGTTTCTGCCACCTCCATGGGTGCCTGAACTTAGAAACACATTAGTACAAATCCCTTTCCATATGTGATCCAGGTTCCTAAGTCCTCAAGGGAGCATTAGAAGCAGTAGGAGCAAATTCACAGAGCACCAATGGCGTTCATGATGTGGGCCTAGGACAGGGTTCTGAAGATGCCCGAGCACGTTGTCTTTCACCAGTCATAGTTATGAGGAGCTTCCTGTCAGCTGAGCCCCAGGTCAGATACGCAGAGCCCAACAGCTAAAGGAATTAGGAACGGAGCACGCTGAGGGTCACTGCTGGGCTACATTGGATATATTCCAGGGCCGTGGTGTTTCTCTGAGAGAATATTAGTCAGCAAGGCTCTCATTCAAAAGCATCACACTCTCCATTCACAGAGGAGGGAAGTAAGATCATGAATGCGAACTGGTTGTCTGCTGAAGGTCTATATACAAATGAGAGTCTCAGGAATACGTTAAAGCAGAACCAAACCCAAAACCCCAAATTTTAAACAACGTACCCAAAGCTCATTAGCTGAAAGTTAAAATTCTGTCCATTAACAGAGGCTTCCATCATTGACTAAAAGCTCCCGGTCTTTTACAGACAGATAGATGACCCCTGACGAAAATGGACTGGGCTAATTGCAAAATGTTTCCAGGCAGGTACAGCGTGGGGAGAGCCTCCCACAAACCATCACGTCCTGGCTCCAATTCTCATGAAAGATTAAACAGCTTTACACACTGGCTGTTTACTGAGAAGAACATTTAAGAGCAAGGCCTTTAACAGCTATCTAGCTGCACTCTGAGATAAAGGTGCCTTCCTCCTGATTAACTGCATGTGTTTCTTGCTTAGGGAGAAAGTGGGCATCACTGCGGCTGCCCAGATGCAGCCTTAGCAGTCAGTGAGCCTGGTCCAGCAAAGAGAAGGGGAAGTCATTCTGCAGGAGAGCCTCTCTCTGCTTAATCCCAGTTTCTAATTTGAACAGTCTAATCTTGCCCTGGAGAACTCCACGTTCGAGATAAGACAGCAGGAGTGAGTCAGTGAGCCGCCTGCGAGCTCGCAAGCATGACTGGGAATGCAGCCCCAGGTGGCCAGGCACGGGGTAAGTCTGCAGAACCTCCTCTCTGTAAGAGACCCATTTTTAATATCCAAAAAAAAATGTAAATGCACGAGGATAACTTGGATTCCCAGTCCATGTCTGAAATGCCATTTTGAGCTACTAGAGCCTGTCTGGGTCCTCAGTTGGATCAGGCATTGTTTTGTTCAAGAATTTTCTAAAAGCTTTCATTCCAGCCTGGATCATTTCTGCATTGAGCCCAAAGCACCATCCCTGCAGAACCGGAGGTCATGAACTAGATGGGATGGGAAAGAAATCCCAGTTCTCCTTTCTGCTTAAATGCAGAGAATTTGATTTCATATTTTCAGTGTAAAAAAAAAAAAACATTTTCTAATACTTTTGTCAGAATTTGATCTCAGTTTTTCCTGTCAAGTGTTAAAGAAGAGGATTTTTGTTTGGTTTTGTTTTTTAGAGACAGGGTCTCGCTGTGTCACTGAGGCTGGAATGCAGTGGCGTGATGGCTTACTGGTAGCCTCCATCTCCTGGGTTCAAGAGATTCTCCTGCCTCAGCCTCCTGAGTGGCTGGGACTGCAGACACATACCACTAGCTGCCTTTACATTTTTGCAGAGTTGAGGTCTTGCTATATTGCCCAGGCTGGTCTCACACTCCTCAGCCTCAAGCCATCCTCCCGCCTCAGCCTCCCAAAGTGCTGGGATTCCAGGGGTGAGCCCTAGTGCCCATCCAGAAGTGGGTATTTGAAAGGCTGGGGGACGCCAGGGCTTACTGTCCTCCACTGCCTCAGTGCTCTCCCACCCACACACGGCAAGGCGTGGCCCCATGTGGTGGAGGCAGGATTAGTACATCCAGGTCACATGACAAGCAGGCAGAAGAGTTGCTTCCATATCGCTGGAACAACCACTCACTGACGTCTTCTGCTTCAGCTGATTCCTCGGAAAGGGAAGCGTAACCACCATGCTCATCTGATTGACTGATTTGCCTCGATATGGAGAGGGCTGGTATACTGGGCCACCCTTACTTTTTCCTCTCTGGGCAGGTTTTATATATATATAAACACAGACATATATATTTTATGTGTATATATACATATATATATACACATATCTATATTACATATAGATAAATGTATATACCTTTTTTTTTTTTTTTTTTTGAGTTGGAGGCTTGCTCTGTCACCCAGGCTGGGGTGCAACAGCGTGATCTCGGCTCACGGCAACCTCTGCCTCCCAGGTTCAAGTGATTCTCCTGCCTCAGCCTCCTGAGTAGCTGAGATTACAGGCACGCGCCACCATGCCGGCTAATTTGTATGTTTTTGTGGAGATGGGGTTCCATCATGTTGGCCAGGCTGGTCTTGAACTACTGAGTTCAGGTGATCTGCCCACCTCAGCCTTCCAAAGTGCTGGGATTACAGGCATGAGCCGCCGCACCCGGCCAGGTTTTACATTTTTGAAAACTAATTTTTACTCTGAAAAGAAGCTGACTCTTATCCTCCATGCCCCTGAAGAAAAGTGAAACGTTCAAATAATTTACAAAGTGAATATATTCAAACCATGGCTTGCCCTTGTCATACATATTTATTAATAAATACCAGCAGTGACCATTTACTGAGTATACAAAATGTGCTGGGAACGATGACTTTCCAGGCCTATTTCCTGAGGTCACAGCTAGTGCATGCAGGGGAGCAGGCTGGTGCTGGAGCCCACACACCTCTTTATAGTGCATTCAACTTTAATTCTCCAAAGGGAGCAAAGCCTGTCACGTAGGCAGTTGTCCTGGATCTAACATACTGTGTGGCAGAAGTATCTGTATTTAACTTTTTTCCAATTTGTAATTCTAGGATGGACAGAGGAGAATTTGGTGTGGATGCCTCTGGAATATATTGCTGTGTGTTGCTGTCTGTATTTATGATGATTTAGCAAAGCAAATTATAAACATTATTTTCTAGTATCTTAGAAAACTTGGCTTTACAGCCCCCTGAACAACTCATTTCCTTTAAAACTTGCAGGAGAACTAACACGCACAGGCACAGGCCTTTATCAGTGGCTAAAATCTCCTCCCTCAATTCAGCCTTAATGTAGCACTGGGTATTTTGTTGGAAGCTCTGGTTTGGGGCCTAGAAGTGAAGTTGCGTATGTGTATTACTAAGATCTCGCATTCACTCTTTAAATGGACAAGTGCTTTGAATTCCACCTCTCGTTTGCCCCCTGTAGAGAAGGAGGCAGTGCACTTGACTGAAATCCCTCCACAGGCTTGCGGTGTCACCCGTGGCGCCCCTCGCTCGCCGCACTGTGCGTGGCCACCCTACCTGAGTGTTCCTGGATGACTCTGGAGCTTGGGGGCCGCTCTGGGCAGAGGCACGGTGGTCTTCTCCATTAGATCTCTCAGAGCCTTCACACGGATCCCTGATTCGGCTATCATACCATTTTCCACATGGCCAATTTATTTTATCTGTTGACGAAATGCTCCCAAGGAGAGTTCCACTGATCTTCAACACGTATTTAGGAAACCATCGCCAGGGCTGCGGAGCTAGCCAGCACCGAGAAAACGGCAGAGTTTCACATTCCATCAAGACCTGTGACCTCAGTCAGGCGGCAAAGTGAGAAACATTCTTGAGCTGTCTTGCAGCCTCTGCAGTAGACGCTGGTACTCTGGCCATCAGCGCGGGCTAGGCAGATGTTCTGGAAGATGAGCACGGCATTTCATTTGGTTGAGGGCAAGACAGTCACTTTGTGACCATACAGGCTCTACTGTGCTCTACAGACATGGAGCAGCAGCAGATGACCCTTCAGCGTCCCCCCAGTCCCCCAAAGGAAGTGCTGTTGTCACAAAGAGAGCACAGTTATGCACAAAGAAAGGCTGCTGATTTTCTTTTATTTGAGACAGGATCTCACTCTCTTGCCCAGGCTCGAGGATAGCAGCACCATCTTGGCTCACTGCAGCCTTGAACTCCTGGGCCTAAGTGATCTGCTTGCCTCAGCCTTCTGAATAGCTGGGACTACAGGTGCACACCACCATGCCTGGTTTAAGACATTTATTTTAAGAGAGAGTCTTTCTCTGTCATCCACGCTGCTCTCAAACTCTTGGCCTCAGGCAACCCTCCCTCCTTGGCCTCCCAACCTGCTGAGACTACAGGTGTGAGCCCTGAAGCCTGGCTCTGCTGCTTGTCTTTTAAAGAAATTCATCTCCATGAGCCACAGAAAGCTATTTTCCTTTCTAACCCACAGCCTTCCAGATACTCTTCCATGTTCACACTCAACAGGCCCATATCCCACTGCTGGAGCTGATTCCCTCATCTCCAGGTCACCTGCAGCCTGAATGTAATTCTTCCTTATTGTGCTCAGCCCACCTCTGCCCTGGAGCGGCCACGACAGCTTGTTTCCCTTTCTCTTTCAGATTTCAAGTCCAACTTCAGAGCCGCTCCCATCAGATCGGTGGACGTCTACAACGTCATGTGCAATGTGATGGGCATCGCTCCGCTGCCCAACAATGGGTCCTGGTCCCGGGTGATGTGCATGCTGAAGGGAAGCGCCGGCGCCACCCTGCCTACCCAGCCCAGCCACTGCGCCCTGGCCCTGATTCTTCTCTTCCTGCTTGCGTAACTGATTGTATTGCTTGTCCCTCCCCTGCAAAAAAACCCACCATCTGCAAAGTAGACCTCCAAAGCAGAATGATTTTCATTTCGTGTGTGAATAATAGCTTCATTAACACAATCAAGGCCATGCAAACTGTAAATATATTACTCTTGGATAATTCTATACATAAAAGTTCCTACTTGTTAAAAAAGATACAAACTTTGTTTTTCCAGACGGTAGGAAAAGCCTAGCTTTCCATTTCTTCCGTTATATGTCATTTTCTCCTTTCTTTTCACAACATTACTCAGGACGAACTCTCTGAGCAGAGGCCTGCTCCTATAGCAACCAAACTTGGAGTGGATATTGCAGACAGAGGTGGCTCTGGGTCCCTCTCGGTCCCATCTTGCACAAAGCAGCTCCTCAGACCAGGCCCTTGTGCATGCCCTGTCCACACCCAGGAGCGATCCTCAGGGTCTGTGGCCACGAGCCTGTAATGTTCCTTCCATCCCAGCTAAAAGGAGGTCCACACAAAGTGAAAGATACTGTCTATTTCTGACCCAGCTCGGGCAATTTTTTCATCTTATACTGAGTCTCAGAAAGGACATAACTTAGCATGGATGCCCAATTCATCCAAAAATCAACGCATCACTAAGGATTGGAGAACTCGGAGAACAAGGTGAAATACAGGAGTCTCCTCCCAAAGTCTGAGTGCACGAAAATTTCTCCCTTGCCTTGAGGAGCAGGAAAGCTTCTGATGGACACCAGCTTCTGTGAGACTGATCACACACAGTACGTCATGGCATGAAGCCTGGCACATAGCTGGCCCCGCATGATGGACTGATGGATGGCCTGCCTGCCTGCCTGCCCCCCTGCCCACCCGTCCACCTGGGCAAAGGCTTCCTCAGACACTGCCACTCTGTGGCTCCCAATACAGGGTGTAGACAGGAGTAATCCCTGACATGTCATTATGGGCTGGGACAGGGATGGCTCGCTGATGAGAATGTGGAGGCATCAGCAAGGATCTCAGCTGGCTCCCTGAAGGGTGATGCACTAAACCTCAGTCCCGGGCACATGGCCTGCTCTGCAACAACAGAAAGTAGTGCTGGGTGGAGAATGGAGCAGAAGCCCAGTCACTGACCAACTAACGGGTCGTTTGATTAGGAAACAGTTTGGCCAAAATGCCGCCTCCGAGACCTAAGTTCTTTTGATGCCCTTGAGAAGAGCCATGGAGCCTGAGTTGAAATATTTTTAGCTTAGTCATCTGTGTTTGCTATTGTAGAACTTGTAACACGAGAGATAACTGCCTTTTTACACGATCGGTCGTTTATATCTATATACATACATGTGTATATATGCACGCATACACTATTATTGCATTAAAAATGAGTTTTGGCTGGGCATGGTGGCTCACACCTGTAATCCCAATGCTGGGGGGCCAAGAAGGGACGATCCCTTGAGGCCAGGAGTTCCAGACTAGCTTGAGCAACACAGGGAAATCCCCATCTCTACAAAACATAAAAGATTTTTTTAAAATTAGCCAGGCATGGTGGCACATGCCTGTGGTCTCAACCACTGGGGAGACGAAAGCAAATTCAGGAGGTCAAGCCTGCAGTGAGCTGTGACTGCACCAGTGCACTCCAGTCTGGGCAACAGAGCAAGACCCCACCCCCCACCCAATAAAAAGCTTGCACTAAATGAGGTACATCTGCAAGTGAGACTTTTTGTCAAGAGAAGGCAATATGTTGGATCTCCTCAGGACAACAGAAGCCTTATATTGTGTGTTACCTTGAAAACTGAGTATCAACATTCACCCTGATTCAGGAAAGCTGGGGGCTGTCTCCATACCATGAATCATGAGAGCAAAGGATCACTGCTTCAAAATACTGAATTTGCTTCCACGAAAGATTTCTAAGGATTTATGTAATGTGTTTTAAAAGTGCCAGCATCCAGCCTGGGTAACAATTGCGAAACTCCGTCTCAAAAAAAAAAAAAAAAAAAAAAAAAAAAAAACTGCCAGCAAACCACTGGATCAATTGTAAAGAAGGCAACTCCTCAGCGTTTGTTATCCGGCTGAAAACAAGTGAGTACTTACAAAACATTGGCAGTAGTTGCTGAAAAAGACGTCTATTGTTCAAAGTTTCTTTCTCCTTAAAGGACGGTGTTCCAGTGAATTCACAATTCCTCCATTGTGAAGGAAGAATCCCTAAGAGATATTCAGGTGATTAAATTAATAGTGGACCATCAAATTCAAGGGAGGCATAAACTTAGACGCAGTCTTAGGTTTTTGTCTTTCCTGAACTCTTCTGTCATTTTCCTGCTTCACTCATCCTGAAAATCTGCAAGTTACATAATAAAACGTTAGGTATTTGTCTGACAAAGTGTAATTACTCAACTGAATAAATGAATGAGAATAAGATACAAAAAAAAAAAAAATCATGAATCCTGGTAAACAATAAAGAAAATTCAGGCACTGAGGGGGAAGAAAAAGATTTTTGCTTAAAATAATGTGGACATTTTTGATGGCTTAATTATGTGGTAAGAATTTGTTCCCTTTCATTTTTGTTTTAAAATTACATTGTTCTCCTTAGAAAAAAATCCACTTTCTCTAAATGTGTTTTTTTCCATAGGAGTAAAATCTGCTAGGAATATGTATAGACATCTTTTTTCCTGGATTGCTTTTTGAATTCACTGCTGATTCCCAAAAATAATTGGGTTGACCTACCAAGGACAAATGAAAAAAATGAGCCCCAGATTAAAGATGAGGCTTTAATTCAATTTTAATCATTGTCATTCTGACTGGCGTGAGATGATATCTCATTGTGGTTTTGATCTGCATTTCTCTAATGATCAATGATGATGAACGTTTTTTCATATGTTTGTTGGCTGTATAAGTGTCAGCTTTTGAGAAGCGTCTGTTCATGTCCTTTGTCCACTTTTTGATGGGATGGGGTTGTTTTCTTCCTGTAAATTTAAGTTCCTTGTAGATTTTGACATTAGACCTTTGTCAGATAGGTAGATTGCAGAAATTTTCTCCCATTCTGATACTATTCTGATGATAGTTTCTTTTGCTCTACAGAAGCTCTTTAGTTAAATTAGATCCCATTTGTCAATTTTGGCTTTTGTTGTCATTGCTTTTGGTGTTTCAGTCATGAAGTCTTTGCCCATGCCTATGTCCTGAATGGTATTGCCTAGGTTTTCTTCTAGGTTTTTTATAGTTTTGGGTTTTACATTAAGTCTTTAATTCATCTCCAGTGAATTTTTGTGTAAGGTGTATGGAAGGGGTCCAGTTTCAATTTTCCGCATATGGCTAGCCAGTTTTCCCAGTACCATTTCTTAAGTAGGAAATCTTTCCCCCATAGCATGTTTTTATCTGGCTTGTTGAAGATCAGATGGTTGTAGATGTGTGTTGTTGTTTCTGAGGTCTTTCTGTTCCATTGGTGTATGTATCTGTTTTGGTACCAGTACCATGCTGTTTTGGTTACTGTAGACTTGTAGTCTAATTTGCAATCAGATGCCTCCAGCTTTGTTCTTTTTGCTTAGGATTGTCTTGGCTATATGGGCTCTTTTGAGCCATTATTAAAAAGTCAGAAAATAATAGATGCTGGCGAGGCCATGGAGAAACAGGAACACTTTTACACTGTTGGTGGGAGTGTAAATTAGTTCAGCCATTGTGAAAGACAGTGTGGCGATTCCTCAAGGATCTAGAAGTAGAAATTCCACTTGACCCAGCAATCTCATTACTAGGTATATACCCAAAGGATTATAAATCATTCTACTATAAAGACACACGTGCACATAGTTTACTGCAGCACTATTTACAATATTAAAGGCTTGGAACCAACCCAAATGCCCATCAATGATAGACTGGATAAAGAAAATGTGGCACATATACACCATGAAATACTATGCAGCCTTAAAAAAAAAATGAGATCATGTCCTTTGCAGGGACATGGATGAAGCTAGAAGCGATCATTTGCATCAAACTAACACAGGAACACCAAACACCCCAAGTTTTCACTGATAAGTGGGAGTTGAACAATGAGAATACATGGACACAGGGAGGGGAACATCACACACTGGGGCCTGTCGGGGATGGGGGACAAGGGGAGGGAGGGCATTAGGACAAATACCTAGTGCATGCAGGGATCAAAACCTAGATGATGGATTGATAGGTGGAGCAAACCACCATTGCATGTGTATACTTATGTAACAAACCTGCACATTCTGCACACGTATCCCCGAACTTAAAAATAATAATAATAATAATAAAAAGACGAGATGAATGGCCACTTTCCCTGTCCATATGCCTTATCTCCGGAATTGAATTCAATTAAGTTGTGAAGACCTAAGCATAAACTAGATCAGGCTCAGCGGAATCCTACAACAGTCCTGGACTATAAGGTCCTAGTTTTTTGTTTGTTTGTTTGTTTGTTTTTTTACTTTTAAAGGAATCTTGGGAGTCCACCTCAGATCTGAGTTCTTCGTAGACAGTAGTTTGCGAACTTTCTGGGTTTTAAAGTCTCATCTGACCCACCTCCAGAGATGTGGGTTCAGAAGGGCTTGAGGTGGTCCTGAGACAGCACTTTGAAGTCACATGGACTTAAGGCTCGAGTTTGCTCTGAGAAGAGGCGGGTTCTGACTTGATTCTGTAGACCCGAGTCTCCTGGCAGCTATTTCACAATCGGCGCATATCTCTAGGGGCCCTGAGGCTGACACCAGCCACTAACCTCAGTTGGGTGAAGCGTCCAACCCTCCTAAACCAAAGTAGATCTGCAGCCCCAGTGGTGGAGGGAGGATCCACAAAAGGCAGACCCGGCTTTTCCACACCGCACTCCCTGTGGCTGTGAGATCCCCAACAGTGCTACAAGACGCTCAGACATTGTTCAACACACACAGCTATGTTATGAATTTTCTAAGAAAGTGCTTTGCATTTCTGTAAATAACAAGAGATTTCCAAGTGTGACTGTGGGTTTTATCTTTGTAAGCAATTTGTGATGGACCAAAGTCAGCTACTGTAAATGACTTGCTAGAAAAAAGGAAGGAGGCAGCCTCAATCGACTGGTTATAAAACATTCGAAACTTGCTCTCAGGTGTGTGCTATAGAAAATATACTTGTATGTTGCTCTGAAATCATAAATTAGCACCTAGTACAGCACCTCAGATGTTTAATACATGTCTCATAAATATATGTTGGATAAAAAATGAATCAATGTTATTAAGGAGACTTGCTTAAACCTCAGATATCCTTTCTGTCTGTAGTTTCTCAAATTAAATGAATTTTCCACTTTTGGCTTGCTATGTTTTCTTATTACCCAACTAACAATATAATTATGCTTTATTTCATGGGTCTAAACATATTCTATCCCAGGCTTATAAATTAGGCATGGAGGAAGGAAGGAAGGAAGGAAGGAAGAGAGGGAGGGAAGGAGGGAGGGAAAGGGGGAGGGAGAAGGGAGCAGGAGGGAGGGAGGGAAGGAGGAAGGAAAGGATATTACAGTTTATAGTATGCATATTAACTTTTAAAAAATATATTGAGATTGAATTCACACACCATAAATTTCATCTATCTGAAGTGTACAATTCAACAGCTTTTAGTATATTCACAGGGTTGTGCAACTATCACAAATTTTGGGACATTTGTATCACTCCAAAAAAACACAAAAAACCCAAGCCCATTAGTACACTAGCAATCACTCCCATTTCCGCCCACTGCTGCCCCTGGCAACCACGAAATGACTTTCTGGCTCTACAGATGTGCCTGCTCTGGACACTTCATAAAATAGAATCACACAATACATTGTCCTTTGCGGATGGCTTCTTTCACTTAGCATAAGGGTTTTCAAGGTTAGAGTATGAGTCAGTGTTTCATTCCTTTCATTTACAAAGAATCCATTGTATGGATATACTTCATTTTATTTATTCATTCATCTATTGATGCATTAGTGTTTCTCGCTTTTTAGATTTTCATCAGGTGTTTCATTCATAAACACAATTTTGTGGACATCTTTTCATTTCTGTTGGGTATGCCACTGGGAGTGGAACTTCTGAGTCAAATTACCATTACTTTATGCTGCACTTTGAGGAGCTATCAGACTGTTTTCCAAGTTGGCTGCCCCATTTTGCATTCCCACAAACAGCATAGGGGAGTTCGAGTTTCTCCACATCCTTGACAGCATTTGGTATTACCTGCCTTTCTTAGCCATCCTAGTGAGTGGCGTTTCACGGTGGATTTGTTTGCAGTTCCCCAGTCGTGAGTCATGTTGAGTATCTTCTCGTGTGCTTATTGGCAATTGTCCGTCTTTCCCTTTTTTTGTTTCGTTTGCTCTCTCGGTAAATTCGTGTCGGCAGGGACGGGGGGTTGCTGCGCGGCTTGTTTCATCACCTAGGTACTAAGCCCAGTACCCATTAGTTGTTTTTCTTGACCCTCTC